TGATAGGCCAATTGTCCAAGCTGATTCTTTGGCAAACCAGGACAAAGAATTAGCATTTTTCTATTTGAGGACTTGTCAAATTGAATATGAAAGGTGAACTATACACAGTTAATACTTATAATCTTACATGTAATTTTAGAAGTTCTAAACTAACAAGTTATATGAGATCAATGAAAAGTACGTAGGAAGGGAAATGTAATATTAGACATATTTGTCTTGGTCGCTTATACTCAGGGGGATCATTGGATATTCAGTTTTGATTATCTTGAACCTTTGGCATTGATGTTATAACTAAGGTTTGGTGGACATCTGGACATGCTTCGCGTGTTTTAGTTTAACTTAATGACAAAGATCTTGCCCGTTTGACCTGTACGTTATGCTAATTGCACCTCTCTTTGCTACAAATTAAACTCTAAAATTTGGAGTATACTTGCTTAAATATATTTATCATAGAACCCTATACGCAACATCTTCCTTCTTCATTATTTGGCATTACTACATTAATCTTTTAATATCATGCACTTGGACGCATTAACAAGTAATGAATTGTTTCAGGGCTTAGATGATATATTTGAGGCTTTTAAAGTTTTCGATGTGGTTAAACAGCTTTTGTCATCACTTTCGTATCAACAAAGATATGTTAATCATGACCTGCTTAAAAAGGAAAATTAGAGTTGTGAGAAAATCAAATAGATATTAGGGTTGTGTAGACTATATTAAAATTCACATTTAAACGTAAGTGGTAGTGTTTTTAGGGGTGGTAGTCGACAGTATATAATATCTATAGCAAGTCATAGATATCTTGTTCAAAATAAATTCATGATACTTATACATCAGGGAAAATTAAAAATTGAATTACCAATTTTCTTGAATTCTTCTAAAATCTACCATTTAGGATGAAAATGCAATAATCAAGTTCTACTAGACGTCATAAAATTAGGAAAAAGCCTTATTACGTACCCTGGACATTGATACTCTTTAAAAAAGAAGAGACAAAAGCTTAATACCTCTCATCATTACTGTATTTTCATTTGTAGTAAAATAAAATTAGAATGTTTGGCAAATCATTGATTATTAGTTGTTCGAGCATAAACATTTTATAATTATTAATGTATATATTATTAATTAAAGTTTATAATAATAAATTATTATTTCTTCATCAAAATAAAAGTATTATCTTGGGCCACATTAATCATCATGTAATGATTTGCTTACCAGCCTGATGTTGCCATACAAACGTTTATTTTCTGATTTCTTTTTATGTAAAAACAAAAATCTTATAAGATTGATTGTATATTGCGTCCCCGTTTAGTTTTTTTCTTTTAAGTCCCTTTTAAATAATTAAGATCATCATCTATATTTGAGAACATTTTAAATAAATATTATGCTCATAAAACATGATTAATTTAGAATTTTTTGGGTAAGTATCTTAGCAGAAATTAAGAAATTGTTTTTTTTTTAATTTCTAACTAAAAAGTTAAGAACCGGTTCTTAAATAAAAATTTCAGAAACCAGTTTTTAGCTTTTTAGTTAAAAATTAAAAATAGTTTCTTAACTTTCGATAAGAATCTCACCCTAAGAATTCTATATTAATCATGGTCTTAGTTGGAATTAGGGGTAAACCTAGGCTGTGTCTAGGGGGTCACATGGCCCCAGTTCATTTGTAAATTTTATTTTATTCGGCCAAAATTTTAGTTAATATTTAGTAGATTGGTTATATTTTGTTACTATGCCCCCACTAATTTTTATGATTTTATATTGTTTTTGATCCATTATAAATTTATCATGGTTCCGCCATTGGTTGGAACTTCCGTTGACCGCAGATCCCAATGGCAATGGCCTTTTCATACGGAGTAGTTAAAGGGATGTTAGCTTAACTAACGTAACAATTAATTTTAGTTTGATAAATAGGTTAACTTAATATATTCACCGGTGTTGATTGATGTTTTCGTCGAGGAGACTCACGCACAGGGCCGGCCCTGGGCAATGCCTAGTGAAACATTTGTTTCAGGCCCCCAAAAATTTTGTAGAAGATTACATGAGCATAGGCCCCCAAAAAATATTTTAGGCCCCCAAAAAATTTTTTTACTTAGAAATCGCCACAGGTCCCCAAAATCTCAAGGCCGGCCCTGCTCACGCAATATTTGGTTTAACATATACTCAATGAAATTAAAAAGTTGTTCACGCCATGGCTGAATTTGCGTATGAAAAGTGAACTGTTCAAACATAAAATAAAACAAACACATCGTTCAAGAAAAATAAAAAGGAGATATTAAATCTCAAATCGTTGGATTTGCATAAGAGTTAGTGCACGTACGTGTTAGTCTATGTGTCAAGTCATTAATTATGTCTGACTACTGCCAAAAAAAGTCAATTAACCGTAGATCATCAGAATGCATAACTTACATGCAAATTGGTTTGGGAAAATGATATTTTCTTGCTTACTCTGTGTGATTAGATTTTGTTTATATTTTTACTAGGATCGGCCCGCCCTACGGGCGGGATATAATTTACTTGTGATTTAAGATATTATTACTTGTATGATTTTGTGGTTTATGTTTTAGTTTTGCATTTGGAAGAGATGTGTATAATAACGATTTTTGTATTTTAGAAAATTTTAGGTGAAGAGATATATTTCGCAATAGTTATTTCAATATAAAAGAGTTGTGACATTGATATGTTGTGAGGACATGTTATTGCCTTTTAAATCACTTTGATCCTATATGTGGTGTGTTATTTGTGGTTTGTAAAACTTTGTATTTAGAAAGAATGGGTTGTGGGTTTTTATGTATAAAATTTGTGTGAATAGTTTTGGTTGTAGATAGATGATGTTCGTAATGGATTATGATTGAAATGTTTTTTTATATTTATGTTTTTAGAGTTATATTGTTGATAAAGATATTTTCATGGTCGTGGCGAAAATATAATGATTTATTTAAGATCAGTTAAACAATGTCAATTATTTTCTGTGGATGTTTAAGTGTTTAATGAAGGGGCAGGCACTTGGTATCCAACGAAGTTCAGTTTGTGTCTAATCGTGCTTTGGGGTTTTATTTGGAAATTTTTAAGGTTCAGACTCGTTCAGATTTTGGGGGTTTGGATATTCATTTAAATTATGTAAATTTTGTTTGTAAATAAAAATATATTTGCAAATCATCAAAATCCTAAAATTAATGTAATATAAATATATTTGGAATAAGATATGATTAAATATTTATAATTATCATAAAATTAGTTCAACTGGATGGTTAAATGGAAAACGTTATATATTTTTGGTGTTTAGAAGTTTTTTTTACTATTTTGAATATTTAATTTTGCTATTTTAAGTATTGTCTGGTATTCTTGACATATTTCAAGTACTTTTGAACATTTTTAGATATTAGATCGAAATATTAGCTCGAGTTTGTTATGTTTTTGATCTAATTTAGTTTGAGCCTTTGAAACTGAATATTTTGTTTAATTTTTTTCTTATTTATTTCTCTGTTTTTGGAAATTATAATATTCATCGTAGAATGTTTTGTTTTAAAAAAAGTCAATCGTGTATTAATTTTCTGATTAAATTAGACTGATTCGCTTGTATTTTTTGTTGGAGTGGCATACGTAAAACTGAAAAAAGCATCTGATTAATAACACGTAATGTGTAACAATTACTTCCCTAATTTTCAATGATGATATCTAATTTTGCCCAAATCCAAACCAATTATGATATCCAATTTTGTCCAAACCCAAACCAATCATTAGCTTCAAATCCTTACCAAAAAATTTTATGTATGTTATCTAATATAGTGTTTATTTATGAATCTAAGTATCATTAATGCTTATAAAAAAATATTTATTATAGATGCAAAATTTATGTTATACGATAAATAAATTATTATACATAAATTAGGATTGGACCCCGTCCTATGGTCGGATATTCAAATCAACAAAAAATATAATTATATTTTAAATTTTAAAAATTTTTGGGTTATTTAGTTACAATTTTCACTATTTTTACTACAAATTTTACAATTTTTTTAGAAACTTATATATTTTTTTGCTATATAAAAACAATTCATAAAATTGTAAGTATTTTAGTTTTGTCACAACATCTACTTTTCTTGAATTACATTTCTTCTTAAATTTTATAATTAATAAAATTTGAGAAATTCCAGTTTATTATCTTAAAACAAAAATTAAGCAAGTAACTTTGAAATATGATATTAATTGTTATGGTTTAATATTGGACAATTTTCTCTAATAGACTTTGTAAAAATTTTATCACAAAATAACCTCAAAAACCAAAATGACAAAAATAGAATTTTTTATTTTGAAATTTTTTTTTTGTTTTTAAAAAATTTGAAATCCTATCTCTAAAACTGTGCACTTAACTCTAAACAAAAAAAAAAATCTAGGAGTTAGTTAACCCAAATGGTATAAATGTATATATATTTACTTATATTTGATAAAACATTTAAGTCTATTTTGGTCATTTTTATTTTTAATGTCTATATTTGTGTCAAAAAATATTTTTAGGTCTATCCTAGTGAATTTCTCTTTAATATTTATAAATGATAAGTTAGGTTATATATTTATGTATTATTATATTTGGGAAACTACATTTTTTTTTGTATGTTTCTTCGAATTCACATCAGCAAAAAATTGAAAATAGTAAATTCCGCAATTGTTTTTTTTCTTATCACCAAAATTTTAGGCTAAACCAAAAAACAATATAGAAAACAACTACTATTTAATGTATTGTCAGCTATAAAGATTATTTATAGAGCATTAGATGTATTGTTAAATATATGGTTCAAATCTTAAAATAACTTTGAAAAAGCTTTTACAAATGATTAATAAAATAACATTGTATTTCTTATATTATTTTAGATGATGAATCCAATTTAAAAATATTTTAAGGAAAAAATGAATTCATCTAAAATTCTTAATCTAATAAGATATTTTTTTTAAAGTAAAAACGTTATGTAAAAAATCAGTAAAAAAACCAATACTGTAAAAAAAAAACTGTAAATCACATCCGTCGATTCAATTCGGTTAAAAGTAAATATTGAATCTGAGATATGTAGCCTACTATAACCAAATCCTCACAACTCAACCAGTCACCAATAACAAAAAGTATTAAAATCTTTTATGAAAATGTGACTTGGACCGTTCTCCATTTTCTTTTTGGAGGATGAAACCGCTGCAATTATGCCACATATTCCCTCCTGCAGCAAGTTAGTTTATAACCAAACATTAATCCAACTGTTCATATTCAGCTTTTACAGTTCTATCTTTAGTTAGGTTTAGTTAGCTGACGGGCTTATGCTAACTTGCATCTTTGGATTCTTTGACACAATTTTAAATGAGGTTCTTGAGTAGGAAATGCTGATGTTATGTAGTCTGGTTCTAATTGTGTCAGAGCCTGACTATGAGGCCGTGAGTGTCTTCAGAAAATGTGTTTGCAAAACTCTATTGGATGTTCCTGAAGAGCTCCAAGTCACCATTCCTCTCTACCTGACAAAATTCAAACATATTTTTAGTATGATATCTTTATTTCAGAGTTTTTAATATATTATGCAAGCTCCATTAAATTCAATTGTATCAACTCAGTTGTATCATTACGTGTACATGCTGATCACATATAAGGTCAACTAAATTAATAAGTGCATCTTGTTTTATGTGAAAGTATGACAAATTTGCACATATTAATCACGTCCTTATATGTTAAATACTTTATTCAATAGAGATCAATATATATATTTGTTAAATACTTTATTAAATAGTGTACAATACATTGACATAAGAACATACAATTTTGTAGAAGTATTTTATGCCTTTCTCTCCACTCCCCTTGGCTTAGTTCAAAATCTTAATGATTATGATTTCTCTCTCTGCGACAGAACATAAAATGCAATTTGCATCTGCTCTTTTGTTTTCATGGTCAGAGATATGCTGACTAAGTGCCTGCAATAATCATTCAGAGAAACTTACATCATCAAATATAACTAATATATTTGAACCTTTACAGTTCTCATATAAAGTGGTAATTCTTTCCACGGTAATAAAAGAGAGCAAATCCTTCACGAACCTTTTCTATTGTCACAAGAACTCCACCTCTCTCGTATTCTAGTAACCAAGCTGTGTCCTCATAAACGCAATACTCTTCTGTTTAGATATAAGCTTTACCATTTGTGTTTCTAATGCAGATGCATGTTCTTGAATCCCCATCAAAAACACCACAGATACCTGCAATGAAAAATGTAATTAAGAACATAATGCCGGAGCGAAGCCTAGCAGGAGCTACATATAAACGCAGGATCTGAATGAAAAAAATTGACTGGGAAAGGTTAGCATAAATGAGAGATCAGAGAAACAATATAAACTACAATCTAAAAAGCTACAATAACCAAGTGGTGTGAGAGAATAACTACTAAAAGATAAACCTGTTGGTCAGAATGTTTCTCAAATCTTGGTGCTTTTGATCTCAACTTCTCTGCTTGGTCATAAAGGTTGTAGTGCAGGTAGTTGATAAGCCAGAGATTTAGAAGCCTTTCCTGCATACACAAAATGACACACTGAATAACCAAAACAAAAACTGAAACATGAACTTCTAGTGTTTATAACATCCGCCGAAAAAGTACCTGACCCAACTCATCATGACACAGCGTTACAGAATGGTGCAAGGACAGAAGTGAACTGCAAGTAAAAGTAATATTGATTAGTTAATTACTTGCTGGGTCTATATACTAAACTGAAAACAAATAGTCAGTGACTTACTCACCCACAGCAAGATGACCAGTGATCTCGTAACTCAAAGAATGCTAAAATACAATCTTGAAGCGACCACATCAATGGTTCTCTTGTCTAAGCTATTGAGGCGAGCAATGCTAGCTGGGGAGCACGCTTTGGTCTAAAGGAGTAAAAGCAAAACACTTTGGAACTAAGACCACATCAATATCAATGAACAAAATATGTCAACGAAACCTCACAGGGAAAGCCGGTGGACATTAGTGGTTGCTGGCATCATGTTCACATAATGGATCACATGTCAAACTTACAATATGATCAGTATACGATATCAACATAACTTATTGAATAGGAAAGCACTGATATGAGGATTAGACCCACCAGAAAAGTTTAATAGTACTATGAACATGAGTTTAAGATTACAACTACCTTTGAATCCAGTAGCAGCATATCGACTTTCATAATCCAAGAATCTGAGAAACCTTACTTCGAGGGTGGAGGGACAGCAGCCGGACTTCAAAAAACGGAAAATAGGATCAGTGAAATAGTCATTTTAAAGAAAATGAATTAAGTTTGGTTTTTTCACGATTTGAGAAGATGATGTTGAAAGGAAGAAAGCTAAGGTGTTTCACCGCCTTGCAGAGGGGTAACTCGCATTCAATGTCAGATCTATGGAGTTAAGAAAGCAATGAATCTGTAACTCGAAGTGTTTCTGTTGATTTGAAGAGGAGACCAAAGGATGCAGCTGAAGACAACCGTAGAGATTCTTCGTGTCGATCGAGTTAACGAAACTCACAGTGACTCCATTGTTGGTGTTCAAAGAACGCAGAAGATTCTTTTTGATTTCCTGGATTGAAAGGATGAACCCTAATTTTTCTGTGGAGGAGAACTTTTATTTTGGTGTTGAAGCGAAAAAAGGTGAACGAAACGCACCGTATCATTTTAATGGACAGGTGTCATCCTCTTGTTGAACTATTTGATGACGTGGCATAGGCAAGAGGGAGGCAAACATTACTTTATATATATAGATATCCATGTTAACAGGGAATAAAATTATTTTTAAACCCAAAAGTGTAAACTTTGCTTTATATTTGTAATTCTCATTGACTAGACACAAAATTCATTTGTTGGGGTTGGTTAGTTCGATATAACTGGGAAAATTTTGTGAATTAAATTCAGAAACTGATGTACACAACATACCAAGTTGACAAGATTCCATATCTGCCAACTAACAAACCATATGATAAGTGATAACACATTTTAAGTAATTATTTATAAACTTCACATTCTAAACTAAAATGTATCCAGCCTATACCTTGATAGAAATAGTTTAAAGTTCTAAAACTACACAAAAATGCATGGTTTTGCTTAATAGGAAAGGTAGTTATCGTCTAACGTTTACGTATTGCGTGATTTGTTTTAGCTTTCCTTATAGAATATCCGAGTATAGCAAAGAAAGGTATATTAAATATACTATATTATGAAACCATATTTAGTCGAGTATATTAAACTCTGCTGTGAATCCATTAATTAAATAAAACTCTGAGAAATTGAGCTAAAATGAAAGTTTTAAAAGAGGGATTATATTTAAAACTAAGGAAAAAGGGGTCCAAAATTGGAAGACTCAAAAGGTTCACCCATCGAAGTGCCATTATCTTCGCTATGGTGGTAATAAAAGCTATAACAGTTATTAAAATACCAAGGCGAACTTGGTGGATACTCCATGTCAACGTACATGAACTCACTCCACGTCTCATTATAACTCGGCTCTAGACTCGGTAACTTCACTATCTCGCTCAGCTCTTCAGCCGTAGATGAGGCTGCTTCTTCACTCGACGGTGACAGCAACGAAGACGACGTAGACGTTGTATAACTACTCGATGAGGACAAGTGCATTTCCGGGACGACGGTGGTGGGATCCATGGCGGCGGCTACGGCGGCTGCGGCTTGAACATCACGTGGAGAGGAGGAAGCTGGACGAGGAAGGTAAGTGGCGAGCTCCGGGAAGTTGAGAACGGCGGAGGCTCCTTTGATGGTGAGAGCAGCCGCGTCGTGTGCACGCGCAGCCATCTCTGCGGTGGAGAAAGTGCCGAGCCAGATACGGCTCTTCTTGCGTGGCTCACGGATCTCGGAGACCCATTTGCCCCACGTTCGCATCCTGACGCCTCGGTAAACCGGGTCGGGTCTAACCCGTTTCTTGTTATTGGTTTTGTGTGACTCTTCTTGATCTTGGTGATGGTGGTTCTCCTGCTCCTCCACCGGAGACGGTTGTTTGATGGATGATGCGGTCATTGACACGTGGGTTTTGACTCAGTGAAGGTGAAAAGACTATGTACGTACGTAGGGTTTATATAAAGACTTGAGATAAAGAGAGAGAGTTGAAGGATTGAAGTGAAAGTGTTGAAGTTAGTTGGAAAAGGACAGTGAATGGCTTACTTATGATATGGCAGTTGTTTCGTGATAGCCTATATATGCGCATGGTCCATGTGTAAACTCGATTATAATATGGTATAACACCCATCTGGAATTAAAGAAAACCTTATATACAGTCTGTAAGAATAAAACTAAAATCACAAATATATGTAACTAATAACTAAAGCGTTAGATCACCTCCAATGGAGTATCTATCTATTAGGGTTCTAAGGCCATCTTTATCCTCAAAAAAATGAGGCGTTTAACACAAAAAGTAAGGAGAGATGAGGCCCATGAAAAATTAAAATTCGACGCTTCTGGTGTCACATTAAACGTCGGATTTTGCTAGGTGCTTGGGCTTTTACGCGACCCCACGACACGTGGCGGCCCGTGATTGGTTACACTTTAATTTTTTTATTTAAACTAGAAAAAAATAAAAAAGTAAAAAAAAAATATTTTTTAAGCTCTTCTTTTTCGAATCCAGCGATAATCCTGCTCTAATATAATTATTATCCCAACACCCCACTAGGGGGTGCTTAGATTTTTTTCTTTTTGATTTTTTTGGACTATAAAAAAATAAAAAATAACAAAAAAGACCAATCGCGGGTCACCACGTGTCGTGGGGCCCGCGGAACAGACCAAGAAATTCGATGCTTATAGGGGAGTCACAAACGCTGGTTTTTTCCTTTTTGGTGAACTCTCTCCTCTAAAAATCCCCCTAAGCGCCAGGGATAATTATTCCTTAAAATAGTATATATGTGTATGTGATTCTAAAATAGTAAATATGTTTTTAGAATCAGTTCTACCCTATTTAATAAGTCCCACATTTTTAGAATCACATATACATATATATCATTTTAGAATTCCAATAGATAGATACCTCACTGGAGATCGTCTTAGTAATAAAGAATATATATATGTGCAGACACATGTGAACTACGAAATATGTTAATATTACTATTCCTTACGTGATGTCAGGACCGAAATTAAGAAGGCTCTAAACAATTTACAAAAAATTCTTTATAAATTTGAAGGTTTTTTTGTATAAAATTTTTGAAGTTTTTTGGAGGCCTTAGGCGAACTGTGTCAAGTACCGCCCCTGCGTGATGTTGATGTACATAATACATAATACATTAGCTAAAATGTTTTTTGATTGTAATAAATCTCTCTTATATTCTGAAATAGTGTAGACTAATACCAAAATGGAGACGAGAACTAGATATAAAACATATTTTTATTTTGTCTGGTACTAAAAGGAAGAATGATACAGTAACACATACACAGTAATAGTATAAATGAATGTCTTTCGGTGGATCGATCCAGAACTACGTAAAGCTTTCATATTATTTACTATGATGCAGTGCTACACACATATATATATATATATAGCATAATAATTTTGGCTCTTTTTACATTCGTCATTGATGCTTGGCTGCTTTTACGGTTGCACCTTCCCTATCATCCGATGGCTCTCTCTTTCTTTCTTTTTAATGTATGCACTATCTTTAGGGTTTAAATTTGATAAAAAATAATGCAAATGAACATATCACAGAGTATGGTTTACTGTTAGAGTGGACAGACATGGAAACTAATTACAAGGAAGGTAAGAGGAAGAGAGATCGTTAAAGAGACCCACAAGGAGTGAAGGCGCTTTGCCCCCATCTCAGCATGGCATTTCTGACAACTGTCAACACCCTTCCCACGTGCCTTTAATTTCAATCTCCCTACCCTAGTTGGCTAGTTCTATCTATCATTTTACCATATACATTCGCTATTTAATGTTCATTTACCACAATTATATCACTATTCAATACATTTCATAGTTTATGTTTTCTACCTTTTTCATTTTGTTTTGTTATGGTAGTCGATTAGATCCTGACGTTTCAGTACACGAGCGTATCATTGTAAATTTGTAATAATGCATTTTGATGTTTAGCTAGAACTTAGCCATTCTAAGTGGAGTATCACATATATAGTATTTTAACTTACGAGTCTTATTTATGTTTATTGTTGTTTATACTGATTAAGTGAATTCAAAGGCAGGTGTAACTTAGAAATAGTGTTAGCTTATATATTACAGTATGAAAACCGGTTTTCAAAAATCAAATTTCCATGGATTGTGTTGACGGAATTATTTAATCATTACGCTAGCTAGTTAATAAATAAGACATATATATTGATGTGATAATAAACACATGGGCAAAGCATGCTGACTTAAGTGAAATTATAATCTACATTATTATTTGAAAAATAAATTTACTGATTTGTTATATTTTCCATGATTTTAGATAATGTTAAGTATTCCCTCCGTTTCAAATTATATGTCATTTTAGAGTAAAATATTCGTTTCAAAATAAGTGTCGTTTTATATTTTCAATGCAAAATTTATTGATTTTAAATATCATTCTATTTTTTGATTGGTTGAAAAGTGGTTAGGTGTATAGAAAATTGTGTTTTTATTTTGAAAATATGGAAAATTAATGAAAAACGTAGAATGACAATTAAATTGAAACGGAGGAAGTATTTTTTTTTGTTTATCATGTTTTTAATGATTGTAATTAATGAGTCATCAGTGTTCCAAAAAAAATGAGTCATCAATTTGAATTTATACTATTAACTAAAACCTTTTTTAACATCATTATGTGAACATTTATTAAAAAGAAAATAATGATTAGGATAACACTCTCTAATATACCTTGATAATATTATATTAAAAATGAATTTAAAAATTATTAATAGAAATAAATTGCTGATTTTTCATGCTCTCTATGATTTTAAGTAAATTTAGATAATTTTACATATTTGTCATATTTTTATTTATTTTGACTGATGTCATGAATTTAAATTTATACTATTATTTGATTTTTTTTACATAATTATCTTCAATTTTATTAAATAAAAACTAATAATTAGGAGAACACTCAATACACATTAATAATATTATATTAAAATGAATTTAATATTATAAGGATCAGGTAAATCTATATTGTCTATAATGGTAGGTTTAGTCATATTTTATGATCAATTATTAATAATTTAATTTAGTGATTTAGCTAATAATTTACACTATCTTGAGAGTAATTAAAATATTCTAGTTTAATTTTAGTAATATTAAAATACTGTATATATATATATGTTTATATTACATTTGGTTTAGTAATATTAAACGGATTTTGTTTTAATAAATATATTCACATAAGGTAGAATGAATCATCTATATGTTAAGATAATATAAGAAATAATAAAGTAATGTTTGCCTCCCTCTTACCTATGCCACGTCATTAAATAAGAGTCTTTGAGCGTGCCACGTGTCTTACGAATCAAACGTTGCGTTTGCAATATACAAGTGGGTCGTATTATGTGTGGGCTCTATGTTTTATCATGTAATCCAGCCCATTAGCAAGTAACGTAAGCCTTTCAACTCGCGTGTGCTCCGATTTTAGGGTTCACCATTGTTCTTTCTTCTCTGCCGTCCGAAAGCTTGAGCTCCGCCGTCCGAAAGCTTGAGATGATGTAGTCGGTGTGATGATTCCGTTTAGGTGCTCGATCGCGTCCTTTGATCTCCTTTTCTATCAATCAAAACTAATTCAAGCCACTTACAGATTTACATTAAACATCTTCTTAATTCCTCCAGCCACGATCTATAATTTAATGTGAAGTTATCTTCTGCGAGGCGGTGGTCTGGGGGTATAAAAAGGTTAGCTTTTCACGTCTCAAAACCATCTTCTAAATCTGTTTTAGTAAACTTTTTCTTCGTAAAATAGCTAACTGCTCTTTGTTCATTTGTGTTCATCGTTATTAGTTAGGGTTCATTGAGTTATTTGTTCTGTTACTAACCAAAGAGACGATGGTGTATACGACAGTGATTTGTGAGACAAATCGTGATGTTGATTCCCTGGATCGAGCTGTCTTAGTGTCGTTTCGTCTCCGTTTCGTCTCCTCGGAAACGTTACATGAGGAATTTATTCACCGTTTCATCTCCTTTGACCCACTGAAAAAAACATTGTGCAAGCCCAAAAGAGGAGAAGAAAGGTTGGTTGCTTTAAGTTGAAACTAAATAGTCTATTCTTATTCTTTTTACGAACTTTTCAATCAAAAGTGATCTGATTTGTCCTTTTGTCATTACAGTTGTTGCTTCTCAAGCTGTTTGGATGGTGGTATGGTGAATTTAACGAGGTCAAATAGGTTTACCTATGGATTAGGCACCACTCATGTTGCTGCTTTTTTTTTTATCTTGCACTGCTGCTTATTATGGCTCAAACTCTGCGCAGAAGATAGCGTCTCAAACAGCAGTAACACTTTATGTGATCTTGAACTCAGTAAACTGGATGCTAATGCATGATTTTGTTTCTCTTGGATTCCTCTCCAGGATTATACTGATATATCCCATGTGACTGGTTAGACAGGTTCTGTTTCCATTATTCTAAGAATTTGAAACAAACTGTGGTCTTAGAGGTGAGCTTAACTTACGTAAGTTCCAATGTTTTTATACTATGATGATTGTATCTGTATTGAGGCTGGAAGCTTATCTTTTGTCTGTGTTCAAAATTTTCCAGATTTTTATTCAGAAGATGAAATCACCATGGATAAGTCTCAAAATGGTAGGTTTACGTTATTGTGTTAAAGTTTGCTTTATAGCTTTGTTCTAAATTGACTCTTTTATTTAGAATGGAGAAATCAGAAGCCACTGAACTGAATGATCACAAGGCCAACATAGAAGCTGGTGAATCTGAGTCTGATGACAAGATAAATCTGACTCTTTAACTCTGATGAGGTAGATTTTAACTTTGTTTTAGTAGTGCAACGTTATAGTTTTTTTTCAAAATTGGTTCTGAATATCTTTGACTCACCTAATTTGTTGAAAGCTATGATCTTTATGCTGATTACTGAAATGTGATGCATGTTTTGTTTATTTGGTTTTAGATGGGTTCGGATGGTGATGAGGATGAGGACAACTCAGAAAAGGAGGAGGAAACACCTTAAATGTATTTTCTTAATGAATTGGCTCTTTGCACTAAGAGCTTACGAAGAGATTGATGATCGGTTACCGTGATCATCACAATATCAGTTTTAATGTTCTCATATTTTGTTTATCTTTACTTTTTTTACTATCCTCACAACAATTTGCATTCACAATAAATATAAATTTATTTTTTTACTAAAACTTCCTGCCCGTAGGGCGGGCCAACCCTAGTTTTAGAATAATCAAAAGTAATCATTATTATATTTTTTGAAAAAGCTGGCAAAGAATTCAAAATATTTATACTATTATTTTAAAAGTTATTTTGTTCTAATGTTAAAAGTTAAAAATTTTAAAATCTTTATTACCCTTGATAAAAAATAGATTAGATTCAACAATATATAATTACCCATAAGTTAAAATAAATTTCATTAAATTTATAATTATCATTATGTAAAAAGATTCTATATTATGTTATCCAAAATATTTCACATCATAGTATTAAATGTTTATTAATATATAATTACCTCTAAGTTAGTAACAAATTTCATTAATTTGATTATCATCGTTATTTAAAAGGATTATATATTATGTTATCCTGAATTTACATCATACTATTTTAAAAATGAATTTAAATCTATGTATATATTAAAAAAATTCAAGTTTATTTTATGTAATAAAAGATAGTTTATTAAAATAAATAACTTTACTTATGTTAACTGTTAAATATTTCAAAAGCATAATAATTTATTTCAATGTTTTTTGAATTGATAATATATATGTTTACAATTTTTTTGTAAAATTATGAGTCCACAAGTGCGGAAAAATTACCTAGTAAAATGTTATACCAAAAAATAAGTGCAATATATTTACAAGTTTAATTTTTTTAAGTTTTTGTAATGTCTAAATTAGTTTATGAAATTTTTTTGCAAGAAATTAATAACGAAACTTGATATAATATATACAAATTTGTTTTGGTGTTAAAGATAAATAATATTTTTTTCCTAACATATGCAATCTTCTTGAGTGGATAGTTCACATAAATATAAGATGCCTTGAAATTTTAAATTAATAACATGGTATTCCTCGTGCTTAAGACTAGGGTTTCCATACTACCATCAATTACGTGATGAATGGTTTATTCTTCTTTTTTCCATTATAAAATAAAAATACGTGAAACAGCCATTATGGAAAGCCAACAGCATCCATTCCTCGCTTTAAATAGTTGTGATATTTTTAGAGGAAGATTGTAGAAACGTGTGTGCGTGTGTGTCATTTCATACATGTTAATCGATCTGTCCGTTTTCCTTTTTTGTTTGCATGAATTGCAGGAAGATATAATTGAGTTCCTTGCTGTCCAAATCATATTATAACACATATAGTTACATATTTTGTCAAGTCATTAGTTAGTCAAATTCGTTAACACGTAGTTGCATAGATAATATGTCAGCAATATTGGTCACGGCACGGGTGAGAAAATACTCAAATAATATACTTCAGTATTTAATTATACCATCTTTAACAATGATTAAAATCCATTGTATTAATTACAATTTAGTCTTTAGTTTGACTGGTAAATCATTGTCATGGATTTCGATTTAGCTAGAGAGTAGCAACATATCCCGATTAATAACAGGGTCGTGGTCAGCAGTAGCGGCCCTGAGTACAAGCAATACAAACATGTGCTTCCGATCCTAATTAGATTATCAAAATTTCTGGTCTTCAAATTGTTATTATCTTCGGTAGCATAATTGGCTTAAGATTGGATTTATTGTGTGAGGTGTGACGTCAGATTCGAGGTATAATAGTTACATAGTTTTAATTAATAGGCCCAATTATTTTTTTTTTGCTTCCAAGCTATATTTTCTTCGGGTCGGACCTGTCAGGAGTGCCCAGTAGCGGGTTAAGCTCCGATTGATGGCACCATATGTAGAATAAAACAAAACAAGTTGGTAGATTTTGTTTAATTTTCAGAAAACTTTTTGATTAAATTAGATTTGTTTATGAATAAGTGGTATTTAATTTAAATATTTTATGTGTACAAATGTCGGCTATAGACTGAAATATTGATTACCTCGCATTTATTTTATTTTTGTAAAAGATTTACAATATAACTATTATACCTTTATTATTGTAAAATGTATACATTTAAATGTTTATAGAAATTATCGTACGTAGGAATTACAAACTATAATTTTAGAATCTACTGGTAAGGTAAGTGTATATGTTGTTGCTATCAATTCTAGTAAAGTAGGGAATTAAAAGAAAATTATGTATGTTCGATGTTCCTTCCAAACTTGTTCAACCATTTGTTTAGTAGATGAGAACAATCAATGGGCTGGGGCCAGTTTAGAGCTACAAGAAATAAAAGGTTGGTTAATTATGGGCTTTTAGAGAAATGGCCCCAATTATACTCCTAAATTTTCCAATTTTAGTAATTTTCCTTACAAAACAAAATAATTTAGTAAATTTGTGGATTTCCGACAAAGAGGTGAAAATCACAATTTTTATCAACATCGAATTAACTTAGTGGTAAATAGTTGTGGCTGTAATTTCGCCGCTTGAATTCAATTTGCGGTGAAATTACATTTTTTCTTACCAATTTTCTTTTAGTAAATTTGACAAGACAATTTCAACAATTCAGTACTTCTCCCTTTTCGCTTGTCACGATTACCAAATATATATCGGCACACACCTAACCAGCAACCTTTAGTATGCCAAACATGGTGTATATAACACATTTACATTTGTGTTTGCACATTAATTGAATAGTTTAATTCTTTCAACTACCGACTATTTGAGTAACTATTTCATCCGCGAGCTTCATTTATTTCCCTTGACCTCACAAATAGAATGTCCTTTTGTTAAATACACACGGAATGCTAATTTATTGTTTAGTTAATGCTGGAGCAGTTAATAGTTCCTAACTTTAGATATGATTTTTTTTTTTTAATATACAAACACATCCTGCAAAATTAACATGATGAATAAATCTTATAATGGACCGCAATCTCAAATTGTTTTATATCTGAAATGAGAATCTTAAACCGGATAAAATCAATTTAAAAACCATCCATATCCATAAAACCCGATCACAAAGCCGGTCGGTTATTTTTCTTCTTGGGCCTAATATCCGGCCCGCTAAAATCATGTAATAACCCAACTAAATATTTTTCGGACCATCTGTGATTTTAGTTCTGTCTGATCGATACTCCTTACGAAGAACAGAGCGAAAAAGTTGTGAAGAAGATGAAGCTAACATGGAACAAGAACCCTAAGAAACGCTCTCGCGTAGCTTTACCAAACATCCTCGATGATGTTCCTTCAGAGAACGAAGCTCCAGAGACCAAATCTCAGCGCCAAGATGAGTTAGAGATCGGAGAGACTCACTCTGAAAATCATGAAAGACCCGATCTCGAAGGGAAGAAGCTCGCAGATTCGTTTAGATCACAAGGAGACAAGCTCGCTGAGGTATTCTTCGATTTGTCTTACTTGATTTAACATCACTTTTGTTCTGTAAGAACATACTGATTCTGTGAACTTTGGTAATGAAGGAAGGAAGATACGAGGAGGCTCTTGGGAAATGGGAAGCTGCTCTTAATCTTGTTCCTGAAAACGTTGTCCTTCATGAACAAAAAGCACAAGTCTTTCTTGAGATTGGTGATCCATGGAAAGCACTCAAGTCTGCTACACGTAATGCCCCTAAGCCCTTTACTTGTGTCACACTTACAAAGGTTTGATCTTTATTGGCCAAAATGAACTTAAAAAAGTTTTCATTTATTCACAGGAGCTACTGAGATAGATCCATCGTGGGAAGAGGTACTTTAAACTCTCTAGTATAATATTTACTCTAAAACTCGCTAGTCGCTACGCGTGTAAGGCCTAGCTATTTATTGATAAAGCAGAAAAATAATCAGGGAATAATGAACTTTTTGTATTTTATGTGTATAATACCATATTATACATAATATAACACAAGATAATACATGTTTATGTAACTAATTGTAACTAAGCTAACTTGTATGCTTACTAGACTATGCTCCTTGTATTGATTTATGTATAAGATTTTGATTATATGGATGTTGAAAGCTGTCTTATTTCTATGATTTTAACTCCTTTGCTTAGGCGTGGACTACTCTTGGAAGAGCACAACTCAATTTCGGAGAGCCTGACAGTGCTATCAGGAGTTTTGAAACCGCATTATCGATCAATGTGAGTGTAATGTTTTTCACTTTCTTTTAGTTACATAGAGATCTTAAGGACATTTTATTTTAACCCATTCAACAGGCGGAATCAAGAGAGGCCAAAGAGGATTTACAAGCTGCAAAACAACTAATAAAGAAGAGAGAACAGCTTCAGACATCAGGACAGGACACTGACGCTAAGCGTTTTGTGGTTGGCGACAAGAAAATAGAGCCAAACTAATGAACTAGAGAACTTGTACTTTAGGTATAGAGTAGCCAAACTTCGTAGTAGCCCGTACATTGTAATAAGAACAACGAATAGAAGATTGTTCTTCATCAAAGGCAAAGACTTAAAAGCCAAGAAACTTTTGAATTTTTCGAATTTAAGTCATTTTGAAGGTCCTCCTGAGAAACCACATTCTTTGGCACCAAGCTCATAAACACACACAGAGTCTCTCCCACATCTTTTCTGCCTTAGCCACCACAGCTGCTTGCTTAATCACCGGGTTTATGTACACATGTTCTCTCCTCTGCATAATGATCACATCCTTGACTTCTAAGCAGAAGAGATTGTAATCAAAGTTTTCAAAATATGAAACAAAAGTAGTTCATTGTAAAGTTGAGCAGATTGCATATTCAGCATATTACAAGGCACTTTTGATTAAAGGATTCATCCGTAGTGGTTATCTTCAGCAAAATCTAAAAAGCTAGAAATTACCAAAACAAGCACAATTTGTAGAGGCGAATCAATATTAAAAAAAGTCTAGAAAGTTAGGAAGATGGACAAATCTTTTTTAGAGACAAGAAGTTGTATATACTCTCTGGTTACAATCCTTCATTTAATAGATTTCTAAGTCCGTTCTTAATCTTTCAGAGTATCAGCTGCAGTTTAGAAGCATGTCCACTCCTCCTACACTATCTCCATTGCCTATTTGCCTTTGGTTGGTAGTTTGCTCTTATGTTCTTTTTCATTGTCTAACATTCACAATCTAACATATATATATAATCTCCCGATCAAATATAATATACATTTCTCAAATATTATTCCTTCATCATCTAATTCTTGTTTCATTCAGTTTTTTTTTCTCTTCTTCAAAGTTTAAGATTATATATATATTCTTTTTAAATAATATTTTTCTGTTCATAAACTATCTAATATAATATTCTCTCTCCAAAATCAAACATTCTCAATATATTTTTTCTAAATTTTTGCTAAATTTTTTCTATTTTTTTTTCTTTTTTTATGGGATATTTGAGATTGAAATTCATAAAGAAGAAGGTTTCGCTGATCAAAATCTCGTTCTTCTCAACGCATATAATTTTAACTATATCTTTCTATTATTGATTTAGCTGTTTTTCTCACTAGTAATCTCTCTTTTTCTGTTCAAAAAATGTGCTTCATAGGAGCTACTGAGATAGATCCATCATGGGCTGGGGTACTTTAACTAAAATATGTATGTTTTAAAGTAATTTAAAATAAATAAAAATAACAATTTTATACAGATATCTAACCATGTGTAGTTTTAATAAAAAAATAATGGTTAATGAATTAGTGTTTGATAAAATACAAGTGTAATGATCGGAGATAATTTAAAGAATAATTTGTTTGCTTAACACGTTTGAATTTTATGTTATACACTGAATACAAATGAGTGAGAAAATATGATATGTGATTTGACAAAATTATGAGGGAGATTGTTTAAACTACCATTTTTAAATACTATTTGTTTTCATGTTTATCTTAATCAAATTAACTATTAGTTTTAAAGAGACATATCATACTATATATTAATTGAAAAGTCACTTAAGTGTCGTTGATAGGTTAAATTTTTTAAAATAGTTATAATTTGATTGTTGTTGACTTTTATTAGTTATTATAGAAACATAAAATGTAACTATAGAACTAATTAATACAAATTACCAAGTAACACAATAGATATAACAGATAATGATTTATGATAACTAATTGCAGAATTAGAGAAAGAATGTATATGTTTTATCATTTTTTTTATTTTTATCAATTATTTATATATAATTAAATAAAATAATTTAGCAGTTTAAAAAAAATTAATAGTTATATGTTCTTGTAGAAAATAATTAGATTTGTAGCTAAGGAATTATTAGATTTTTTATACTTTTTAAAACTCACACAAAAACGTTTACAAAATATTTTCATGGTAAAAGCCTCTGGTTATTACATTAGTGCTATTAGAGTTACACAAAAACACTTTTTTCTTTTGAAAGCTAGAGTATTTCTAGTTTTTCATGTATTAAATATAATATAAAATAATTCTACAAACAATTATATGAATTACTTAAAATATTATTTTTCTGTAGTATTTTTTTTTCTAATGACTAAGATTTATATTGTGAACTGTTTTAAATCTCATAGATCTAAAAAAATATAATGCAATTTTTTATTTATTTCTTATTTGAAATTAAAAATTCTATTTTTTGTATCAAAATTGAAAATTTCTAATTATTATTCATATATAGTATAACTACCTTCAAAACTGAGGACACACACCTAGTTAGTTCATTATAAAATGGAGCAGATTGCAGATTCAGCACATCATAAGGCACTTTTGATGATGACAAAAAAAAGGCACTTTTGATTAAAGGGTGAAATCAATATGGAAAGTACCAAAAACGAACACAAATTTTTTAGAGAGGAATCAATATTTAAAGTCAAAGTTAGAAGATGTACAAATCTTTTTCTTAATGGTGTTCAAAAAAAAAAAAAAAGTCTGTTCTAATCTTTCATAGTGTCATAAGCTTCCCCTTTTGTTTCTGCAAAGTCCCCATCTTCTTCTCAAAAGCCTTTCTCACTTTGCAAACTTTCTAAAGCCTTTCTCCCTTTGCGAACTTTCTGAATAGCAGCTGTACAAGTTTTGCAAAACCATTCTCCTTCCGGAATCGTTGCACGTGGAGGTTTCATGCAATAGATGTGATACGCATCATCACACCCATCACACATCACAATCTTATCATCATCCTTGTCAGTTAGACAGTTTCTGCACAGGCACGACGAGCAATACCAACGAGCACCACCGTGTAGTTTTACTCGCTTTGAAGTCAAACACCTAATGTGGTAATACTTGTGTGGGCAAAAAGGGTGATCACATGTAATGTACCTGCCGCTGCCTTTCTCCACCACTTTTATTCCACATGTCCTACAGAGTTCAGAATCTCTCTTCGTCTCTACGTTGTGACCTCCATGATTCATTTTGCAGCCTGAATCCTCTTCAGATTCGTTTGAATCTTCTTTACATTCTGTACTTGAATCTACACTATCTGTCTTCATTGTTTCACACACTACGCAATTCTCGTGAGGTGATCCGATTCCATTAGCTGTGCAGTTTACACAATACCAACTTCCCGTAGACATCCCTCTCCCACCTGGATGTGCACATGAGACATGATACACATCTTCACAATGATCACAAGCTAAACAGTCTTTGACCGCGGCCTTCTCTCCACATAGCTTGCAAGTGTCATAAACACTGTCGTTTCTGATGTTCTCTACGTTAGGATTAGGCTTCGATTCCTTAGTGTAGAACTTCTTCAACTTTCAGATTTTTGAGGAAAAAAAAAGAGAAGATATTAGGGGATTGATAAAACAAAGTTCTATTAAACTAGCACCTTGAAGAAGATCTCCACCTGTTCGGTACAGGACGCCTTTGAAAGCTCCAAGAGACTATTAGCAAGAACAGCCATATCATTACCAACATCCTGTATTTTTTGCCAGACCTGAAATAAGTAGTTAAGTTTAGTTCTATATCAAACGCATAGTATCTTATGGAAACAACAATCACATTCCTTCAAGTTGAAAGTTTTGTGTTCAGCTTCCAAACCATATGACATCATAAAGTAATTTTCACAACGGTAAGGATTAGGATGCTTGAGTTATCTTCAGACTATGCAAGAGTTTCCATTAATTACCTCTTGGAGATCCGTTGAAAAGAGCACAGGTGAACCTTCATACACACCCTCTTGCATCCTGGTGTCTATCAGAGTTCTGCAGGTAAGGTCTTCAATCTTGACCCCTTGTAGATTCTCGGAAAGCAACTTACTTAGGGATGCAAACTCCTTCGAAGCTAAAACTTGAGAAAGAACGTTCTGGCATCCGGCTGTCACAGTCTCATACTTGGGTTCAGTTGTTGGTTTATTTGGATTTGGAAGCTCGGGTAGTTCATCAGGAAGCTGTGTTCCATCGCTGAACCTTTGATTATTTAACTCAGAAGCAACAGACTCCTGAGCAAAAGACAACATTAATCAAAAACAAACATGGTAACACGAGTCAATCACACAAACATAATGAGAAACCAAAAACTTCATCATTTCTCAACAAGCATAGTGTTAGCAAGTCAGCAGTAACTGAAGTGTATATCATATTACATAACACTCAAGCAGTCACACAAATGGAACAGTACCCGGTTTTTTACTGAGTTGCTAACACCTTCTTCCACAGAAACCCTCTCATCTTCTTTAGAAACCGGTCTCCCAAGATTTCTCCGCTTGTATACTTGTAACGTCTTGTTACCTCTGGACCTTTCATTAGCATCGTTCACTGTATCAACTTTCACAGACCCATTTACTATATTACCCTTCTCTGTACCTCCTCCATCACTGCTTGTCACCAACATCTAAAGAAAACGCAAAGAAGAAACAAAATCCATTTTACACATAACCAAAAACAAAAAGAAACCAAATTGTTCTCTAACAAAGCCTTCTATGGAGCTTTCTTTATCTAAACAACTACGAAGCTATTAAACGAGAAGAGAAGAAATGTGCAAACCCTAAGATATCTGCGAGAAGGTGGGGAGTTTTATGTCGCCGGAGACTCTTAGACTCGCCGGTGGCTTCTCTTTAATCTTTGAGCCTTTTGCGTCGGATCCTCTTCTTAACCGGGTTTTACTTTCCAAACTTGGAACTGGCACCGGTTCAAACTGCTCACGTGCTTTCAATGGTTAAAAAAAAAAGAATGACTAGAATAGACCTGAAAATTTTTTTTTATCACAAATATAGAAATTAATAATTAAAATGACTAAATATTTTGTTAAATATATATTTACTAGGTGATTTACTTAGTAAATATCATAGTTGATTGATATTTACTTTAACTTTTATATTAATTTATAGTTTTATGTATAATTTATATTAATAATATTATATTATTTTAGTTATATATAATTTTAGATATATTATATTTAGTTAGTTTATCATTTGGATATATATATATATATATATTGGATTCTATCTATTTCTCTTAATTCAACTATAATTTTTTTTTATTCTAAGTATCTTAAATTTTTGATTAATTGTTTTATTTACATTTATGTTGGTTGATATCTTAGAAATATAAGTATATCTTAGTAAGTTTATGTATTTTAATATTTTTTGTACTTAGAACGAAAAAAATAAAAACTAAAGTGTCTGATTCTAAATTACATACATAAGTAATAATAAATTTTCAGAAGATTATGAAAACATATCAATATTTACAATAACTAAATATTTTAGAAATTTTAAAAAATTTATGCCTTAGATTGATTGGATGGTAAACTGCAATTTATTTTAAATAATTTTTAAAATAAAGAATTATGATTTTCTTAAGTATTTTGATTATGGTTATATTATATTCCACAAACATAAAAACAGAAAATTAAACATCAAAAGAATTATTAAGAAAACATATAATTTTAACTATTAAAATATAATATATCTACCTCGTTAAATTATATAGTGTTATGATATTTTAAAAGAATTGTAGTTATCTGATCAAAAGATGTTTACTATTAAATTTATTTTTAGTTTTGTTTTTAATATCTCTTAAAGTATGCAGTAAAAATGTGATTGTTTTTGAGAAATTATATTGTATAAGTAAAATATAATTTATATTTTTGCTGTAACGGTAAGATATTATAATCAAATAAATATACTAATTATAATTTTTTTGTCAATTAAACATATATCAGTTTATGTTACTTAATTATTTTATGTAATCATCTAATAAAATAGATAGATATATACAAAAACTAATTACTTTAAAAATATATATTTTATTGTTTAAATTATTTTTTAAGAAAAAATATTTCTTTTTCTAATATCAAGATTATTTGTATGAAATTTTTTTATGAAAACATATTATATACAAATATTTTTTCATCTAAGAAGATATAGATATAAAGTATAATTACTTAAAAAGTATAATTTATGTTATTTAAAAATATATTTAAGTTAAATATTACTATTTTGTAAACTTTCCTTTTTTATGAAACCAAATTATATATATACTATTTTTCATTTTTAAAAAGTTTTGTAAATTTTAGAAATATTTCCTTTTTATTTTATATTGTTATTTGGAAGATTTAAAAAAAGAAAATAATAATATTTAAATATATTTTAAATCATTACGGGTAGCATAGTAATCAACCAACGTGAGAGTTAACGTGAGCGCGACACCTAAGAAAGTGACTTCTCAAATAATATTATGGAGATATCATTTGGGTTAACTAATCCTAGATTTTTTTGTTTAGAGTTAATGAGTAGGTTTTTGGGGACAGGGTTTCGAGTTTAAAAAAATTAAGAAAACTTAAATTTTTTCAAAATAAAAAATGTTATTTTGGTCATTTTAATTATTAAGGTCTATTTTTGTGATAAAATTTAAAATAGGGCTATTTTGGAGAATTGCCCAAAAAAATTAAATTTCTTTAAAAATAAGGAAAAACATTTGGAAAATATAGAAAAAGCAATACACATTTTTGTTTAGCATAATAGAAAAAATTAATCATACTTGACCACTAAAAATTTAACACATAATTCTGTTCTACAAAATTAAAAAACAATTAACAGAAAATAATGTTTAAAAAAAAAAAAAAGAATCGTAGTAGCAGTTTCTTTTTTACAAAACTTAAGACATTAAACCAAGGTCATTCTCCTTCCTCCAAAAAAGGAAGGAAATGTTATATGATTAAAACTGGTATAAGAAACTTTTTTTTGAACTACAAACTTAATATAGTATTCACTTTTTAACACATTTAATATTTCATATAAAACTTAATTTAGATTTTCTTACAATCTTATACAAGGTTGTTTGTCATATTATCTAAATAAAAATTCAAAAAAAATTCATAAATTTTTTATCTTGCAATAATTGGATTTTTATTATGTATCAAAACTAATATAACTATATCCAAAATCCACTATTTTCTCACTATTATTCACAACTGTTCATTTTATTTAATCCAAAATATTAAAGTGAAAGTTTTTTTGGTTAATTTTATTTTTTTAAAAATCTTATACAAAGTTGTTTGTATGGTAATATGATTAAATAAAATGACTATATATATAGTTCTAAATCCATTTTATATTACACTATTTTAGTTTACATAAAAAATATTTTATTTTTAAATGTATGCAATTTCACATCTATGAAAACAAAATTAGGCTAGTCCATTGAATAATCTTCCTTTCAAATAAAAATATTTCATCAATTTTGATATAGTAACTTGTAAAAACCTAGTTATCACTCCCACCAGTCACTATCACCGGCCCTCTATCACCTTATGTTATTTTTCATCTTCTATCATTCATAATCTAATATATATATTTCAATCAAATATAATATACATTTTTAAAATATTCTATCTTCGTCATATAATTCTTGTTTCATTTTTCTTCATAATCTAATATTATATATATATATATATATTCTTTTAAATCATGTTTTTTCTTTATCAACTATCTAATTTTACACTATCTCTCCAAATCAACATATAATATTTGCTAAAATTTTGCTATTTTTTTTTCTATTTTTTAGTTTTAGGATGTTTGAGATTGAAATTCATAAATAACAAGGTTTTCTCTGATCAAAATCTTGGTTCTTTCAACTCATATAATTTTAATTATATTTTCTGGTATTAATTTATTTGTTTTCTCGCTAATAATCACAATTTTTCTGTTAAAAAAATGTGACTGCAGACTTTTTTTCTAACATTTTCATTATATTTTTTTTTGCGGTGAAATATATTTATGTATTGATAGGTGCACATACTATTAGTGAAACAATAGCTTGTTTCTTTGTTACACAACGACCATAAACTCAACATTCTCCAAGGTGCTGAGATCTACATACCTTCAAAGAGAGAATGTCAACATGAGAGTTCCAATGGATTGAGGAAGCTCGTTGAGCTTCAATGATCACATCTTCACAACATCCGAAATGGACGAGGAGTTATCCAATCCTATGCTGCTTTTTACCAAAATAGTGACACGAAGAAGATATACTTGGCAAACATGAGTCGAGGCTCACTTCTTTTCAGAGTTTACTACATCAATGGTTAAAATGCGTTTTAGAGGAGTGAAGATTGGTGTAAGGGAGAGATCTGACACCGATGTAATTCAACAAATTAAAAAATTATCCGTGTATGTATCTTTGCTCTGTAATCTATAATAAAAAGGTGATGTTATGTTATGGTTCAATCCTTTGTTCCCTTTAACATTTTTTCTGCTTAATGTAATAAAGACATGTAAATTAATTTGTTTGCATCTTTTAATCAAGAGAGAAACTAAACATAAATATCTTCTCTGGTCTTATCTCCTGGCCTAATGGTACCACTAAAGACAACAATGTTGGAATTCTGTTTTTTGATTGAAATAAAAAGGATGGCTTTTTCTACTTTTCCGGCTAAACTGATGATTTTCATGGCCAAATTGATAGTTCATTGGAAATCTTGCATTAAGCACTGCAATCTATGATATTCATTAGTCACAAACATATTTAAATTGAATGATAGATGATACAAAAAAATAGTAATTTGGTGTTAAAAATTATTGAAATTATAATCAGATGTCAAAATGTTGGAGATAATCATATCGAAGAAAAAAAACGTGAGTAATATATAAAAAATTTGAGCCATTCTATTTATTGTAAATTGATTTTAGGTATCAGAGCGGATCACACTCTGATCCATTAATCCGACTCGAAAAGTGATCTAATCATCGTATTGTTTTATAGAGGAATTATCAAGATTAATGGTTATAGATACCATTATTTCGAATGAAGGTGTTAAAGATAAAGATCCGATCTAAAAATTGAAAAAGACATGTATAATATATATTGATCAAAAAAAAGAAGAAAAAGAAAGACATGTATAATATAGAAAGTACTTGGATGACTACACTAATGCCAAATGGTTTTAGAATGGATCTCCAACACAAAATATAAAGTGACAGTTTTGCTTCTTAGCAAGGAGGACTTGTTTCTTATCCTAGTTAGATGATGGAGGACTTGACTACGTTTTCCTTGCCTACAAAAAATTTGGTTTTCAAGAACAGAAAAACGAAAAATAACAATTAAATTAAACCTTGAGAGTAGCAAACCAAAGTATATTTCGATACAGTTTGGTTCAGAAATCGGGTTGGTTTTCGGTGTTATTATGTCATTCCAAATTGAATTAAAATCGGTTTATATTCAGCTAATCTGGTAGAAAACCAAAAAACTCGTGTATAAATTTCGGTTTATGTCTCAAACCGGTCGGTTCTTACTTGCTGAATCGAACCGGAAACTAACAAAATCTATAAAAAATCATCGATCGGTTTAAACAGAATCGAATTTTTTTGGTTCGGTTCAAACCGAATGCACGAGGCTAGTCTTGAGAGTGTCAATTGGGGCCCTATAATCTGTGGAGTCCCAGTTTGAGCTCCAAAGTCGCGTCTTCTCCGCTCCGATCCGATCCGATCCGACCCAATCAATCCATGGAGGATCACAAGGCCACGACCACCACCGACGGCGAATCGTCGAGGAGCTCGCCAAAGTTATTAGCTGCCGCTGATCGGAAATTACTTAAGGTTGAACTCAGGCGAGGAGACACGACGTACGTCTCGTGGAAGAAGCTTATGAAGGAGGCCACCAAGAGCTTTGGTTCATCTGCGGCGCCCGACCCGGTTCCTAACGATGTTAACCCTAATCTTGAACCGGTTAGTTCTTTTAGCTCTCACATTTTGCATAGATTTTTGACACTTATGTCTTGTCCATAATCCATAAAAAACGGACCAACTTTTGGTCTCAAAAGGTCTAATTTTTTGTCTTGTCCTCCTCCTGGGAGCTGAGTTTGCTTTTGGGGTCGTGTTCTGGTTCATCCAGACAGAACCTTACTGTTTTTTTTTTAACTGATTGTCGGATTAATTCTTTTCTTGATGGATTAAAACTTTGTTATTGTCGGATTAGCTGATTGTTGGTTGGGAAGATTTGTGCTAGTCTTGGTGAAGTGAATTGGTGCTGACGTTGCTCCTTGCTTCTAGGGTTTCATGAACCAAACTGTTGAAACTAAAGAAAACTTACAACTTGAGAGTGATTTGGTGACTCTAGTCTTGATCACTAGTTTGAACTGTGGTCTTGGTTACATTGTTGCAACCTCGTTTAGGTTGAATATGTGTCACTCAACTGGAGATGTTTATCGCTTTCTTTAAAGTTTTTTTTTCTTTTATGTGCATACGATTTGCATGTATCAGTTTTCTAATGCTTTATTGGTATATCCCAATGCAGGGGCCACAGGCAGAATGTGAAACGGTCGACCAACCTCATTCTAATCGTTTTAACGCTGTTATTGAGAAGATCGAGAGGCTCTACATGGTATGTTTTTCTTACTATTTTGTCTATTGTTTAGGAAGTACAAGTTAGATGAATGTTTTGATTTCTAGGGGAGAGATAGTAGTGATGGGGAAGAACTAGATGGTGCTCCTGACGATGACGAGTATGACACTGAAGATTCATTCATTGATGACGTTGAATTGGTCAGTGTCATGTGTTTCTTTTTCCTATGTGATCAAAGTGTTTCTTGATAGCTGACACATCTTTTTTTTTTTTTTTTTTTTGCTTTGTAGGATGAAT